ATTTTGGAAGAATTTTCCTTAGCATTTCTCTTTGTGCAGAATCTCTTTTCACGCCTTTTTTGTTCACAAAGAAAATTTTGTTAATTAGTTTAGATACCTTTCCGCATTGAGTGCTGGATTGTATGAAAGTGGGAGAATGCAGCCCATCACCCACTTTAACAAAAGCTTGATTACCAGTGTACGAGGAAAGATCACATACCGTCATTTGCCTGTGAAACGTAATGCACGCGACCCTCTGGCAGGGCCAGCCCTGAGAATTTGGGGCCCTAGGCAAGCCTTCGAAGTGGGACCCTAAAATTCTCTGATCTCAGATTCTATTTTCATATCAAATATCATTAAAAATTAATATCAAAAGAAGATAAATATACAAACATTATTTAAATATTACACGATTCACGTTTTTAGACACAAATGTACTAAATGTTTGCATTCAAGAGTTTAAGATTGAGAGTGAAGAACAATAAAAATTGATGATCAAGAGAGTAAATAACAATAAAACTTGATTGACGAGTATAATAAATTCAACGCCAATTGTTTCTCTTGTGTTTTTTTCTTCTAAAATCAACATCACACTAACGAATTGAATATTAAAATAATCCATTGAATAAAAAGTTATTGAAAAGAAAAATATATAATTCAAAGTTTTGATTACCTTAAAGTACAATCTTTAAGACCATATGATAGTTGGTTTAAACATTCAATAGAAATTGAGAGAATGAGAAGTTGGTTTAAACAATCGATAGAAATGGAGAGAATGAGAAGTTGAAAGAAAAAAGATTGCAAAGAGACTTGAGTTTTATAACTTTATATGCATTTGGACAGATGAATTGATAGTAAATTTGAAAAATAAGAAAAATTAAGAAATATCTAGTGACTGAAAGGCAGCTTCATGTTTCAAACTCAACACCCCAAAGAAAAATGAAGCCAACATTTCCATTGCACTAACAAATGAATTATGATATTTCTTACTTTTTTTTGTATTTATATGTTAATTACAGGATATAAATTTTTTTTGGGACCTTCTAAAGTGGGGGCCCTAGGCGGTGCGTACTTGGACTACCCTTAGAGCAAGTCCACCGTTGTGGATTGCTCGGGGGACAGTGGACCAAACATGACATGATATCCCGGCTGAAGCCATCTAGAGTGGGGAGCCCGAGGGACTGGGCAGGCTCGAGCAACGGGTTTGTGAGGAATCGCTAGCCCGCGAGCCCGAGGTGGACCTGACACAGGACTGACGTCAGCCTGGCGTTAGTCCCATTTTTAATTTTTTTTTTCTGTTAAGCGCATGCGCCTCACCCGCTCGCAGGGATGCGTTAGCCGATAGATTTCAGACCCCAGGGGCTCGTGGTGCAGTTTGCCTCAGTCAGCGTTGGGAAGCCACGTGGCTTCCCATGGTCCATTCGATCTCAACGGCTCTTTAAAATGGGCCGTCCGATTTGCAACGGTAATAAAAAATTTTTGATTTAATATCAACCGTTCGATCTTAGATCGACGGTTGATATTAATCTGCTTTTATAAATAAATAAATAAATAAAAGAAAAAATAGTTTTAAAATTAATAAAAGTTACCGTTGTGACACGTGACACAATATGAAGTGTTAGAATTCAATTTTTTTTTATATCCAACTGCAGAGCTTAATTAGTTGAATACAAATTTAAAAAAAAAATTGTAAAAAATCCAAAAAAAAAAAGTGAATTTTTTTTATAAAAAAATTGTTTTTACTTTTCTATAAATACCTTCTTATTATCATTTACCTTACACCATAATTTCATATTTTCTCAACTACTTTCAATCACATTCCTATCCTTCTCTCAAAGTTTTAATCCAATTTTTTTCAAAAAAATGACTACTGATTCAGATACGAATTGGTCGCTTCTTGAAGATGTTGCGTTGTGTACTAGCTGGGTTGAAGTTACTCATAGTTCGCTTACGGGTAATGAGATGTAGTTGCGAGAAATGTGGAGTCTTATTCATACCAATTATCTTGAGAAAATGGGTGGGAAAAGAACAAAAAAATCGATGTCCAGTCGTTGGAAATTACTTAGCCAATCGTTTAATACATGGAGACACGCCTTGGCACAAACTAGTACTAATATTCGAAGTGGGGAAAATTACGCTGATTAGGTAATAATATATTATTTATTTGTTTGTACTCTACCCAAATTTACATTATAATTATTTGTTTGTATTATTTATTTGTTACCTACCTAAATCATTCAATAGGTGGGAATGTTGAAATATTGTCAAAGATTGTCCTAAATTAAGAGTTGTGCCCGTCGGTCAAGAAGTTTTTATAAACAGCACCCCTCTACACTCTACACTTTATCATGGCTCGCATGTTCATGAAGATGATGCAGAAGAAGTGCCCGAAACGTCCTTTCTTGAACAAGCGTCGAGTTTGACCCGTTATCCAATTAGGTCTAAAGGTAAGAAGGTTTCATAGAGAAAATGGAGTACTTCCAAGAATGATTATGCAAAGTACATGGAAGAGCTTGCTCACTAAGGTGAATTGACTTTGGCACGGGAAATGGCTAAATTTGAGGTTGATAAGGCTACAGAGGAGGCAAAAGCTGCAGCTATTGAGAGAAAATTTCAAGCTAATGAGAGATAAAGAGAGCTACTTAGGCAAGAAAGGGAACAGGTCATAGAAGAAAGAATGGCTCAACGAGATTGTGAGATTATGAACATGCCATTAGAAGGGAAATCTCCAAATTCTAAATATTTTTGGAAGTCGAGAAAGCGGACGTGGTGCAAAGGAGGCGTGCAAGAGAAGCGAGAGCAAGACAAGATGGTCCTAGCACCATAAATTGGTTAAGTTATGATGTATAGAGTAGTTTTTATAATCGGAGCCCATAATTTTCCAATCACTTTGGGTTGTAATTTATTATTTATTGAATATAGTACTTTATATTGTTTCCAATTTATTGAATTTAGTACTTTATTTAAAGTGAGTAAATTTATTAAATTTGGTAAGTTATTTATACTAAGAGAATATTTATTCAAATAACAAAAACACACCAAATAAAATTACATAAACATACCGAATAATAAAAAATTCACTAAAGCTGAACTAAAAAAAACACACCAACTAAAATTAAATAAACACACTAAATGAACTTAATTATCTTCAGCTTGTTTCAATGCCCACTGATGCTCTATCAAGTCATTTTGCCTGGCATTGTGCATATATGGCATTTGAAGTGCAATATATCGTTGAATGACTAATTCATTGTAACGTCCATCCCTTTGTAATGGCTCATGTTGCACGAGTTCTTCGATGGCGTCATGAGCGTAATATATACGTGTTATTGAATTGTTCATCGTGTTTGGCTCATATTCATCAACGGCATCATAATCGTACTCATCTTTCACAATCATGTTGTGAAGAATGATGCACGTCATCATGATGGATCGAAGCGACTCTACATCAAACAATCTGGCAGCACATCTGACGATCGCCCAGCAAGCTTGGAGGATACCAAAACAACGCTCCACATCCTTCATGCACCCCTCTTGACAGCTTACAAAGTGTTTTTCCTTTGCACTTCGCGAACGTGGCACTGTTTTAACAAATGTTGACCACCTTGGGTAAATGCCGTTTACTAAGTAGTATGGCCCGTCGTACATACGTCTGTTGACATAGTACGTTGTTTTTGGTGTCTTTCTTTCCAGGATATCGTTGAACACTAGGGATTGGGTAAAGACGTCGATGTCATTTTGAGCTCTTGGAATCCCGAAAAAGGCATGTCAAATCCATGTATCAAAAGATGCCACATTGTCCAAAATAATACTTTTTGCTCCTTTTCTGTCTACATAAGTGTCTTGCCATGCACTTGGACAATTTTTCCACGTCCAGTGCATACAATCAATGCTTCCAATCATTCCAAGAAAACCTCGCATCTCGGCCTTCTTCAGAAGCCTTTGCAAGTTCATGTCAGTAGGTTTCCGGAGGTACTCTGCGGTGTAGATGCATTCGATTGCTCCGCAAAACCTCATCAGGGACTCAAGAATGGTTGATTTCCCCATCCTCGTTATCTCATCCACTTGGTCTGCAGATGCTGCATATGCAAGCATCCGCAAGGCAGTATTAATTTTTTGCTGAGGAAGGAGACCCATAGCACCAAAAGCATCATTCTTTTTGCACAAAGTAAGAATCATAGTTGTAAACAACAATCATGATTTTGTTGAACAAATATCGTTCCATTCTAAAACAAAGTCTAAAGTACGTATAAGGGAATGCACTATTATAGACAAAATAATCGTCCAAGAGTTTCGTACCTCGTTGTTGCCTGCTTCTATTGAGGTTTCCGGAACGGCTAACCTGCAGATCTGAGCCATAGCTTGGATAACTCGACAGGAATGTGAGACTCTGCCCATTCTTGCTTCGTCATCTTTCCTTCTACGCTTCTCATCTTATTCCCTCTCATTTTTTACCACTTGGAGATTGAACATTCCTTCTGATTGGTTAAACAATTCTTCCTCTTGCTGATCGAGTTTCCACATCATCTTTGAAGAAGAACAAGACATTATAAGAAAGAAGCAAAAACTATAAATAATGATAAAGATTTTGGTGAAGAAAGAAGCAGAAATTATGAATAATGATAGATATTTTAGTGAAGAAGGAATCAGCTATGAATAATGATAGAGACCTTGAGAAAATTGGTGTGAGATTTGTGAGGATGGATGATGGATTATATGGAAAATTTAGAAAGGATTAGGTTGTAAATAATGTCACGTGTCATATCGTCATTCGTTAAAAATATGATAGAAATCTATCATCAAAGATTGTAAACAGATTATGACACGTGACACGACGTGATTGGTTAATAATCTTATCAGAAATCCATTACAAATAATTGTATTTTCGGATAATGATACGTGGTGCAACGAGAACGATTAAAAATCTTATCTAAAATTACAATTAAAATTATTATATATATAACCATGGTTATTGAAGTGGAAAAACAAAAACAATTACTGTTTATTAAGGTAGTTACTGTTTACTGCTGGAGGTTTCACAGCTGGAACTGCTCTTAGGGCCCTGTCCTCTGGTTAGGTTTTTCTTGATCAGAGCTCTGATTTTAGCAGCAGGAGGACGAAGTTGTTTATTTTGTTAGCAGCAGCAGTAGCAAGAGGACGAAGAGATACTTGTGCCGCACTCGGATTTGGTCGAAGGCCCTGAGCCTATGGAAGGTTTAATTTTTAGCAATTTTTCGATAATTTCTTAAGTTTGTGTTTACGGTGTTGCCTAATCTGAAAGAATTGATTTTTGTGCGAATTTGGCGTAACGGGGTTTGATTAGAGGGCAAGTGATTGCATTTTCTTTAGGGTTTTGGTTTTGTTGTTTTGAAATTTATGTTATTTGGTGTGTTTCTAGTAGCCCAAGTGGAGCCGGCTTGTACAGTTGATAGTCAGCCAGTGAAGGATCCGCCAGTGATGAGATTCACTTGGACAATTGAGAACTTTAGTAGGTTGAACACCAAGGAGCACTACTCTGACATGTTCGTTGTTGGCGGCTATAAATGGTATTTTCTCTTGTCTACCAGATGTCAAAAACTGATTTATGCTGCTTAAGTTTGGATTATATTGTATCTCAGCGATTGGATTTTGAATTGCTTTTGGTATATTTGATCAGGCGGATACAAATATTTCCCAAGGGAAAGAAAGTGGACTACTTGTCAATGTATTTGGATGTGGCAGATTCCGGGACATTGCCATATGGGTGGAGTACATATGCGCACTTCAGCTTGGCCGTAGTTAATCAGATCTATTCCAAGTACTCAATAAGAAAGGGTATATTTCTCTATTAGTCTTATTTCCTTTTAGCATTCAATTTTGTGGTTTTGCCTGGTTTTCGTTTTCTTTTTTCTTTCGTTAGGAGCTTTGCTTGTCGTTGGGTAGTCATGGGCACCCAAAGCTCTTAATTAGAACTTATTATCCTTGAAATGAATGTACTGGCTTTCAACTTCATAGTTCTTGGGTGATGCAATTTGAGCGCAATCAATATCTGATTAGTCACCCTAATCTTGTTATGGTGAGCTCTTAATTCTAATTTTACTCATTGAAAAATCAAAACTATAAAGGAAAGAAAATTTGTCCACCCCTTTTTCTCTAACATCTTGGCTGACGGCAGCAACACCACTGACTCTGCCTATGGTGACCTTGTTTTGGGATTTTTGTAGTTTGAGAAAAAGGAATAGAAAAATTATGGAGTAAAACGTACCAACAGATGTTAGAAGTAAGTTGAAAACCAATAGATTAGTCCTTTTAGGTATAAAGATGTCAAATATAGATTAACAGTAAAAGTAGAAAGTTAGAAACAGGAAGAATTTACTTAGAAACTGTGTGCAATAAGCAAGAATTCTAGTTAATGAAAAGGCTAACTAAATCAAGGGTTTCCATTTATTAAGGGATGAGCATGAGGTGGCTCTGGCGACCTTATTAAAATTGGAGAATTGAAGTTCAAATATTTTAATGAATTGTATTATGTTGGTGTAGCCTATGTTGCAAAACAATAATTTGACATGCTGTTTAACCAGAACCAAACAAACTAAATCTTATTCTAGACTTTTTTTAAGACCCTTGTTCTTGATTGTTGTATGATGTTGCAGACACACAACACCAGTTCAATGCAAGAGAAAGTGACTGGGGATTCACTTCATTCATGCCTCTTGGTTATCTTTATGACCCGAGTAGGGGATATCTGGTGAACGATACAGTTGTGGTTGAAGCTGAGATTTCTGTCCTTAGGGTTCTTGGTTACAGGTCGTATGACTCAAAAAAGGAAACTGGTTATGTTGGGCTCAAGAATCAGGGAGCAACTGGTTATATGAGTTCTCTACTCCAGACTTGGTACCATATACCATACTTCAGAAAGGTTGTTTATGTGATCTCCTGTTGTTATTGTAAGCTAAACATGAATTCTCTTTTGAATTTTATATGCATGATCTTAATTTTGGAGTTACTTACCAGGCTGTGCATCATATGCCAACAACTGAGAATGACATGCCTACAGGAAGCATCCCTTTGGCACTACAACGTCTATTCTATAAACTTCGATACAGTGAAAGCAGTGTTGCAACTAAAGAATTGACCAAATCCTTTGGATGGGATACATATGATTCTTTTATGCAACATGATGTGCAGGAACTTAATAGAGTTCTTTGTGAAAAGCTTGAAGATAAAATGAAGGTATAGGAAGCTTTCAGTTTTTGCTATTGGTGTAGCTTTTGTTCATTTCATTTTGATAATTGTTCTGTGGGCCCAGGGAACTGTTGTGGAGGGTACAATACAGCAGTTGTTTGAAGGACATCACATGAATTACATTGAATGCATCAATGTGGATTACAAATCTACAAGAAAGGAATCATTTTATGGTAATATTTATTGGCACAATTTCAGTTGTTAAGAGCTGGAAATATTTTGTAAATGTCAGTGCATGCCACTGGTTTCTTCTTATTACTTTGCAGACCTACAGCTTGATGTGAAAGGCTGTCGGGATGTTTATGCTTCTTTTGACAAGTACGTGGAAGTTGAACGTCTTGAGGGTGACAATAAATACCACGCCGAAGAACATGGTTTGCAGGTTAATTACTGAATCACTTTCGGGGTGCTGCATTTATACTATAAATATAATCTGAGGCTGCTTGTAGTTGCATTATTTCCAAAACTAGGGTTTACATTATTTCCTCTGCAGTGAAGTATTTAATATATGTTCCCAAAACATGTGTTGGTGGTGTCGTGCATGATATATTTTAAATTCTGAGTCCTCAGTTTTTTCTTTCCATTAAATCGCTTGTTGAAGCAAGTATTCTTGCATATGTTTCTTTGATATGAAAATTTTAAAATATTGTTCTCAAGGAATATTTTGGATGTTTATTCCAGGATGCTAAGAAGGGTGTTCTGTTTATTGACTTCCCTCCCGTTCTTCAACTTCAGCTAAAGCGATTTGAATATGATTTTATGCGGGACACTATGGTTAAGGTTGGTACTGGAAGCTCATCTTGCTCCTTTAGCTTCATCTGTGTTTATACATGAAACATTGAAACTGTGATGTTTTACTATGAAGGTAAGCTTCTTAGCTGAAAACAAAACAAGCTTCTTAGCTGAAAACAAAACTGTACCATGTAAAATATATTTATTCACATTTTGTATAAATTCAGGTGAAGGCTTGTCTTTGCCTAATGGGTTTCAATCTAATTTTAATTTTAATTTTCTCAATTTAATGGATTATTTTTATTCAAAGTTATATATACTAATGAAATTCGTTTTTACCTCTTGGATATGTTTGTTCGTGTGGCAATGACATTTTTTAAATGGAAAGCAAATAAATTATCATGGTAAGAATGTTGTATTATTTGTTTTTGGCAGATAAATGATCACTATGAATTTCCTCTTCAACTTGACCTGGATAGGGAGAATGGAAAATATCTATCACCTGAATCAGATAAGAGTGTTCGCAACCTCTACACTCTTCATAGGTATCTATTTGGCCTTGTACTATTACATGATATAATATAGATCATCTGTTTCCTAAATTTGGCATGTTATTTCAAGGATTGTACTTTTTAGACCTTTTGATGTGCATGCCATTACTTACTGAGTGTAACATAACCAGTTTTCTTCTTTTTGTCTTGACATATGATAGATCCAATTTTTTTCATTGAAATTGAAGCTGGGTTATAGAACTACCTAATGTATGGTCATTCATGATGTCTAGGAGTCTACTTATTTATCAAAGTTCTTTCATGCCTACGACTATTAAGGCATTGTGCCTCTGTAGGGGCGTTTGTTTAACCTTCTTACCCTTCACTGGATTGGATTAAGTATTAATGTAGTATTGGATTGGATTGGATTAAGTATTAATGTAGTATTATGTTTGGTGGCTTGTGGGACTAACATTAATGGCACTAGGTGGGACTCGCTTTCACAAACGGCTTCACTAGCCGGTCTTAGTGAGAGACCCCGAAACCCACGGGACTGGTTAAGACCTTCCATCGTCCTCTCTTGCCTTCGTCCACACTCGCTGCATCCTTTATCGCCTTCGTCTGCTTCGCTGCCCTGGGAAGAAAATTGCGATTGGCTGTTGCTGCTGGCAGCGAAGAAGAAGAAGAAAGAGTCCCTGTTTGAATCAACCGGGAAAAAACCCAGAAAACCTAGAAATCGAATCGACGGGGAGGAGTGAGAAACTTAGACAGAGCGAGAGAGGTCGTTGGGACTGTCGAAAGTCCTCTCCTTTATTTCGGTTCTGATAAAATTTCCTGTTCTGTTCCGAGTGTCATCTTCGACCTCTCGACTGCATCCTTTTGGCTGCAAATTCGAATTCGCGATGTTCGCCAAGCGGCTGCAATTCGTACTTTACCTTTTCTTTAATTAAAATTCCATTTCTTTTTTGTTGGGTTGGATTAAATTCTGATGTTTTCTGGGTTTTGAATGGGGTCGAAGTTGCAGAGTCTACCTGCAATTCGAGAAGAAGAAGAGGGATGTGCCCTTTTTTTATTCATATGTTAGTTTTGATAATAATAAATTAAAATATAATAATAATTTATAGTTAGTCCACCTTCTTAGTCCGACACTGCACCAAACACTTCACTAAGTTAGTCCAGCTTAGTCTATTCTAAGCCAGTCCAGTTTAGTCCCTGAAGCTAGTCCAGTCCAATATAGTCCGGTGCAACAAATGCACTAGTGGGTGGTATTATGAAAAAAATTTCAGGTTTAATTTATCAGTTGTGCCCAATAGTGATTATGGTATTTCAAAATACTAATACAATATATGAAGAGGGTTATTCGAACCTGCTTTTGCATCTGCCTGTTTGGTCATGTTGTGTGGAGCTTCATAATTTTTACTTTGTAGTTGGTTACTTACTATGATAATTTTCTACTGTTGCAGTGTCTTGGTGCATAGTGGTGGGTTGCATGTTGGACATTACTATGCTTTCATCAGACCAACCCTCTCAGACCAGTGGTATGGACGGATCTCCTGGAATCGATTCTCTTTGTAGTTGTCTGGAGACTCACACAGAAAACACATGAATGCAGAGACAGACATTCTTTATATTTCACATTGCTTTTCTGATGGATTCTGGTACCAAAACTTGATTACCTGACTGCTTGCTCGTAAAGAAAGCACCTGTTATTTTCTCACTTATGCATTTTTTTTTCCAAGAATTACTTTGAAGTTGGTATTTCTTTATTGGGATTTTTATGCATGACTGAGTGTTCTTGTGCATGCATTTCATGTGTTGATGTAATTTGTCATGTCTTGTTTTAGGTACAAATTTGATGATGAACGTGTGACAAAAGAGGATGTGAAGAGGGCTTTAGAAGAGCAGTACGGTGGTGAGGAAGAGGTAGTTTAGTTTTGGCTGTATCTGACCTTCTATAGTTCTCCTTGATTTTAAAGTTTCTTAATTGTCAACTGACCTATTGTTGTTTTCTTTCCAACAGTTGCCACAGACCAATCCTGGCTTCAACCATACTCCTTTCAAATTTACAAAATACTCAAATGCATACATGCTTGTGTATATACGGGACAGTGATAAGGACAAAATAATATGTAACGTGGATGAGAAAGACATAGCGGAACATCTAAGGGTAATGGTATATCAAGCGTTAGTTCTGATTCCAGTGTCCAATTAAGAGAATGAACTGACTTTCTATGTTCCATTTCAGATAAGGTTGAAGAAAGAACAAGAAGAGACAGAGGACAAAAGGAGATATAAGGCACAAGCACACCTCTATAGAATTATTAAGGTAAGGGTTTCTAGTTTATCCCCGTTTTCACCATTGTTTGTTCAGATGTGGTATGACAGGTGTTTGGTGTGTAACAAAAAAATTATAGCAAAATTTAATGATGTGTTTAGGTTGCTCGAGATGAGGATCTGACAGAGCAAATTGGAAGGGATATTTATTTTGACCTTGTGGACCATGACAAAGTTCGTAGTTTCCGTATTCAGAATCAAACGCCCTTTAATCTTTTCAAGGTACACCAGTACAGGCTGACACTGTGCATTTATGTCTTCTTTATTCTTTTTTACCATTTGGGGTCATGTTTAATATGCGAATTCCTAAATTTGAAATGGTTAACAGGAGGAGCTTGCGAAAGAGTTTGGCATACCAGTGCAGTTTCAACGTTTCTGGATTTGGGCCAAGAGACAAAATCACACATATCGCCCCAACCGACCATTGACACCTCAGGAAGAAACACAATCAGTACGTACTTTGTACTTCCTACCTTTGAATGGATTTTCAATACAAGATGCCCTGCTCCTTGCCCTCATGCTTTGTTTTCGTTCTATTCGTAATTCGTAATTCTTATTATATCTGAATTATTACTTTTCCTCCACTTGGATTTATTAGCGGATGTTGTCTTTGTAGAGTCTAACACTGAACTGCTCAAGTTTATGAACGAATGATGGATGATTATAATTGTTATTTTTATTTTTGAAATTGGAATTTAACTAAGTGCTTAATGGATTGTTCTGTGATAAACATTCGATATCAGATTTAGAATTATTGATAGTGTTTTTAACTGCACTTCGGTGCTAAGAAGAGCTTGGTCTAGGTGCTTTATGCAAAGCTAATGATGACCGCTTGCATTTTTCAGGTTGGACAATTGATAGAGGTATCAAATAAAACACACAATGCAGAGCTAAGGTTGTTTCTGGAATTAGAGTTTGGGCCGGTAACCAGTCTTACTCTATTCTTGTTACTACCTGTGATGTGAACCTTGTTGGAGTTCCAATTGCTGTATGAAAGGATTTTTTTTCTTACATTTTATTGTTTCTGTACATTTTCCAGGATCTACGTCCTATTCCTCCACCTGACAAAACCAAGGAAGATATCCTTCTTTTCTTTAAGCTTTATGAGCCTGAGAAACGAGAACTACGGTACCTCCTGCTCTTTCTGCTTAGCTGAATATTTTTATTCTTTGCCTTGTGTTTGCTAATTTAAGTCTCTTTTTCTGTTTCCAGTTTTGTTGGTAGGTTTTTCGTGAAGAGTTCTAGTAAACCAGAAGAGATTTTAGGAAAATTAAATCAACTGGCTGGTTTTACCCCTGATGAAGAAATTGAGCTTTATGAGGTGTGTTTCACTTTAAATTTTAGCATAAGGTTGTGTCGTAGATCACACATGCACACACTCATAAATATTGTATATAGACGTGTGAAATGTATATGTATATTTATAATTTGTTGCATGCTTTGCTGTAGCATTTTAAGCAAACTTTATATATGTTTTTGTGCTACAATTTCAGGAACTAAAGTTTGAGCCTTGTATCATGTGCGAACACCTTGACAAGAGGTTCTCATTTCGAACAAGTCAGGTAACTGTTGCTATATTGCATGCTTGGTATATTACAAATATGTGTGTATTATAGGAATTAACGTTTTGACTCTAGGTATATTTTCAGTTAACCATCGGTTGCATTCCTTTTCCAGATTGAAGATGGGGATATTATTTGCTTTCAGAAGTCTACTCCCCTTGAAACTGAAGAAGAATGTAAATATCCTGATGCTCCTTCATTTTTGGAATACGTACACAATCGCCAGGTACAGGCCGTGGAAACATTTAATTTGTTTTATAGCTATATTTTGTTAATTGTTAAACCTAACTGTGTTGAATGATTTGATGCTTTACAGGTTGTTCATTTCCGTTCTTTGGAGAAACCTAAGGAGGAGGATTTCAGTTTAGAATTGTATGTACTTCCTGAACCATTGTTCCTCATAGTTGAACAGTCCATCATTGTTTTATTACTCAGTTCGTTGACTTTATTTTTCATTGTTATTTTTAGGTCAAAGCTACACACTTACGATGATGTGGTGGAGAATTTGGCTCCCCAAATTGGTTTGGAAGATCCCACCAAAATCAGACTCACTGCACATAACTGCTATTCTCAGCGACCTAACCCCCAACCAATTAAATTTCGGGGTGTAGAGCATTTAACTGATATGTTAGTTCATTACAATCAAGTAGGTGGCACTGTGTTGCCCTTCCTCTGTTTAATTCACTCTCATAAGCATCATGTGGTGTGGCTACTAATTATGCTTATTATTTCCTTTTACAGAGCTCTGATATTTTGTATTATGAAGTCTTGGACATCCCCCTGCCAGAATTGCAAGGCCTAAAAAATCTAAAAGTTGCTTTTCATCATGCTACAAAAGATGAGGTATGAGTAAGGTGTCTTCTGCCTATGAACAGTGATTACATCATTGTGCACATCGTAATCTTGAGTGACATGTTTACAGGTGGTGATTCACAATATTAGATTGCCCAAACAGAGCACTGTGGGGGATGTCATTAATGTACTTAAAACGAAGGTACTGTTTCTGTCAATCATACTTTAAGTTCTACGTGTATTTTCTTTTCTTTTTTGGTACAGGAAAGGTAATGATGCTGTCATACATCAATTTCCTTTATTTATTGCTTATAAGATATATCACTTTTACTAACTTTAAGAGTTATTCAATGCTCAATATAATTTATCTCTGCCTCCTTTAAAAGTTCTGTGTAATAGATTTACTCAATGTATGGTGTACTTGAAACAGGTAGAGCTGTCTCATCCAAATGCAGAACTCCGACTGCTTGAGGTTTTCTATCACAAGATTTACAAGGTAATTATTTGTATGTCAGCTGTGTCAGCTTATAGGTATTTTTTTGGGTCATTTTTCCCAGAAATGATATGCACGTAGCTGGCCCCATTTATGATGTGATTATGTATGATATGTTTGGCTTGTTTTCCTAAAGGACCTTATTATATCAGAATTTTTTTTTCCGTCGAATAATGCATGTGCTTTAGCCTGTAGTTGCACTCAGTTCCATCTGTTTGTTTTCAGATCTTCCCGCACAGTGAGAAAATTGAGAATGTAAATGACCAGTACTGGACTTTGCGTGCAGAGGAGGCAAGTTCATTTCTTCCCCTTTTCTTTATTTAGTTTTATATTGGGAAGTTTCTTCTTTATTCAGTTGAAAATTTTTAGAATGTGGGTGTAGTTTTATGGGCAAGATTTGTAATTAGTTGGTTTTCCCTTTCCGGATTAGCATCCTTACTTGGATTGATATTTTTAATCGGTACTTTCTATGCAGCTGACTTTTTCCCCCTTGTGTATCAGATTCCAGAAGAAGAGAAAAACTTGGGTCCCCATGATCGCTTGATTCATGTTTACCACTTTACAAAAGACACTGCACAGAACCAGATGGTATGCGAATTTTTATTAAATTTTTTTCGCAAGCTGAATTTTGGCTTTTTGATTGATATTTTGTAGAACTATTTGATTAGTGTTTCAGTTAGAGATGAAGAGTGATTCACCCAAATATATAAAGATTTTAGTAACTATCTTGTTCTTTGTACATCTCAACAGCAAGTGCAAAATTTTGGGGAACCTTTCTTCTTAGTCATCCATGAAGGTGAAACTTTAGCTGAAGTTAAAGAACGGATACAAAATAAATTGCGGGTCCCCGATGAGGAGTTCGCGAAGGTACTTGATTCAACCTTACATTTGTTGGAACGTTACAGGAGGAAAAGATTGTTTTACCTCTAGAATTAATGGTTTTTTATTTTGCTGCTCATCTATTTCCCTTTTGGTTGCGCAGTGGAAGTTTGCTTTCTTGTCACTTGGTCGTCCTGAGTACTTGCAGGATTCTGATGTTGTTTCCAGCCATTTTCAGGTATGTTCTATGGTCTATTGTAATCTTGTGCTTATGGGTATTGCCGTTATTGCGTTGCGGGTTCTTTAATTCCATTGTTATGACTTTTGTTTTCCTCAGAGAAGAGATGTTTATGGTGCATGGGAGCAGTACCTTGGGTTGGAGCACTCTGATGAAACTCCTAAGAGGGCTCACGCAGCAAATCAAGTAAGTGCTGTTGTAAACATTTCTTTTCCAACCTCTATTTGCCAGGCAGAGCCAACTCCACAAGAAGACTTAAGAGTACCTGCAGGATTCTGATATTGTTTCCAGATGATTTGAGGTGTATCTATGGTCTATCACAACTCATGTCCCCCTTTCTTTCATATTATATGTCTGCGGACCAATCTAAACTATGGTTATGGGTATTGCCTAGGTGGTTATTTTTTAAATTCCAACTTTTGAATTTTGTTTTCCTCAGAGCAGAGATAAATATGCTGCATGGGAGCAGTACCTTGGGTTGCAGAACTCTGATAAAGCTCCTAAGAGGGCTCGCGCGGCAAATCAAGCAAGTGCTGTTGCGGCAAATCAAGCAAGTGCTGTTGTAAATATCTCTTTTCCAACCACTATGGGCCATGCAGAACCAACTCCACAAGAAGACGTAAGAATCTGACTCTGTCCACATTCATTTTTTTCAAATTTAGTTTTTGTAGTGATATCTGGACTCTGATGCAGGCTGCCCTAGTAACCTTAGAGTCCATAGCGTCTAATGTCGGCCATGAGACAGCAAGCAGAGAAATTGAAATGCAAAATGATGACCTGGATGGCCCTGCTTCTCCAGCAGTTGATCGAACTCTGAGAAGACTTTCTGCTGCAGAGGATCTATTGAAGTCCACTTCAGCCAGAGAACCATCAGTAGAGGCTTTGGCTGCATTAGACACTGTGAGCCGCTATGCAAGGAGCAGCCTAGACACTCTCAGCACGAATGGGGCATATGAGGAGTTCAAAGCAGCCTTGAAACTCTTGACTGAACAAGGGATGATCCATTCAACGATCACTTCCATGCTCAAGGATCTTCTTTCGTCTTTGGAGGGTGAAATGCCGAAGTACATGGCTGCAGTAAAAGAGCTTGCCGAAGCTGAAAATTTTCCAATCGAACACGAAGAGATAAAAGTTAAAATGGGACTGGCCATGCAGATATGCCAAGAGAGAAAAGACATTGTGGCTAATTATGATGCCAAGGTTACAGAACTAGAGGCTGAACTGGCCCGAGTTAAAGCCCAACTGGCGCAAGTAAAGGCGGAACAAGCTGAGGCAATGGCGAATCTAGACACTGCCGTGGATGAAATGGAACCTCTTAAGCAGAGGTTTGCAGATAACTCTTTAAAATCTGAAAACTTGATCGTGAGGCAGGCTACCTTGACATTACAAAATTGTGGCTCTGTTGGAACCTGGGCCGTCCTACAAGATGTACTGAAGAAGTACTTTAAGTTTTAGAAATATTTGCTTTTGTGAATAAGCCCTTTCGTGGCTCAAAAGTTTGTATGAACATGCAAAGAAGTGAACAAGTCGTGCAAAATTCAGCTAGCTTTTTTCGTTACATTGCTCGAGTTTGAGTGGGAAGCAAGGTGACCGTGCTGATGAGTATTTTCGTTTACACTCCTACCTCTCCTCGTTTGGTAACTCCCAAAAAAATTGTGTTTTGGCTTAATCTGCACCCTGCTAAAAACGGACCTATGTTTTAACAACCACAATTTGTCTAATCAACCTCATGGTAGATCAAACGGAGTAGCAGCGGCTGATCAACCTCATGGTAGAAGGAATTGGCAGAGTATGCAAGCTAGACTTGGATGTCAAAAGTCCAAGATTTTATAAATTGATGAAGCAAAAACCAACGTTTGTGGTCGAGCTCTGCTCTTGCAATCAAGTCGTTAAGACTATCAATTGGATCTCATGTCCATCATGATAGGATTTTGTACCTAAACCAGTCGCTCACTCAATAGGGTTACTATTTTTGTTGGTTAATGGCACTTGTTTCGCCAACTCCAATAACAATCAAGCGCGACACCAAATGATTCAGCTATAACCATTTCATCATGCATTAATTATGTCATTTCATAATCCAAATAAATATATGGAAATGAAAAATGCTCAAGGTGAATTCAAAATTGTGTCCATGTAAGCAAAAAATTGGCCCACTCAATGCGATCCCAAAAAAAGTAGGAATTAATTTGACAAGGTCCACTCTCACACCGTTTTAGTATAGATAAAAAAAAATAAAAATAAAAAGCCTACAACAACTGTCTAAACTGATGTACTAATTAATCATAATTGTTTTTTTTTTTTTAAAACCTCCAACAACTTTCTAAACTAATGTACTAATTAATAATAATTGTTTTAAAAATGAGTATATTGTTTTAATTTTATCGGATGTCGTTAAGGACATTAAAAATAAGCAAATAAATTACAAATTAGCTAATAACTAGATATAATGTTATTCCCATTAGCCTCCCCATTGGAACATTGATCAATGTCATAGAATTGGAAATGATCTCTCAATTCTTCCATCCCTTAGATTTAGAAGCCATTGCTAGAAATAAGTTCTTTTTTTTTTTTTTAACCAAGAAACATGTAGTTAACTTTTTTTGTCAACTTTTTCCGTCTATTAGTTTTTACAAGGACAGTCGAAACAACGGACATTCAGTCAGTGGCAAAGCTACGTGATGGCGAGAAGTGGGACACGTGTTTTAACTTTATTGAGTCACATTGTAGTCAGTGAAAAATGGGTACTGCCTAGGCAGCACCAAGTATTTTCCTTATTAACCTATTTCTTTCTTTTTTTTCAATTTTTTATTCTTGTATGTATTTTTAGTTTCTCTTTTGAGACTCCCACCGTATTTTTCTTAAACTCTCACATTATCTATAAATATTGTATTATTTTTTAAAAACAATGTAAATATTGTTTAATGCTTATTTTACGATAATTTAAATCCATTTAGGCTCTTGCTTAGATCTTGCCTAGGCCTGCTAGGTCATAGTCCACTGTTTGACTAGCGCCTAACATTTTTTAGGATCTAATCCTAGTCAATTTAAGCTTCTTACATTAGCTTTGATATTATTGCTTACAACCGCTTTGGTGGAAACATTATTTTCTGCTATGAATATTGACTCAAAACTTTGCACTCTCAAATGTGAAAGCAACCACTTCGATTGAATCTTGCACTCTTTTGAATTTCGCCCCTCCCCTCTGCAAATCCTAGCTTCACCATTGCATTCAGCCACATCTGAACAAACCCTAGGACTATATTCTCTTAGCTCAGCATCGCAGCTATTCGTGCTGATAATGTGTTGTAAAACTAATGATTCAGGGAGAGTAGAGAGAGTACGGCAAAACTAGACATATATAGAGAAGGGCAGGTATTCTGTGTCTAATTCCTCAGACATAGTGCCTTTATTTATGTAGGTAGACTAACTCTTTAAACCAAATTTGCAAATCATGTGATGTGTCACCAATAGAAAATAAGCACGTTTACGTTAATTAAAACTTAAGTAATAATTCAATCATCAACAGCTGAGTCATATGGTTTACAAAATTTTGTCCAAAAAGTTAGTTTCCCTAGCAATACCTTCTATTTATACTAATTATGATGAACTTTTTTGTCTTATAGGTAATACAAAGCTTATGAGAATTTGATATCCAAATTCTATTGTGATTGTACTTTAAGTTTACACTATCACATTCCTAAATAGACACGCTATTTACAACAAGATGAACAATTTTTCTTTTTCATTTAAAATATTTGATTATCAAGTGATTGGCAAAAATATATATCTTTTTGCATACCACATTTTTTTATAAGTTTAACTATGATTTGGTGTAGATTTCACGTCCGAATACAAAATTTGGGACGTGATTTCACATGAGGAGGTTTTTTCTTACACCGATTCCCTTCTCTTAATATTTAACTATCTAACCCAACACTATCGTTTTTCAAAAAGAAAATTACTTGTGATTTATTCCAACTTTTGAAGGAGATGTCTTACTAGACTAAGTTTAAAGTTAGATTGTGCATGTTGTGTGATCAAATTTAATAAAATTATGGATGAAAATTCGAAGTAGATTACATATCCATTTATACTATAATTAAGAGAAGAATCATTGTCAAATTCTCTTTATAATTTCAATAATGTCATTTTTCTCAATTTTGCACTTACTATACTGAATAGGAAAAGTTACAAATAGAGTATACTTTTAATACTTAATTTTATATTAAGACAACACTTTTTAAACATGAGACTTTGGATGCGGTCCCTAACTACCAATGTTATTTGATTAAAACCTTTGTGATTTTCAGTTTTTGATCGAAGTCTTTGATATTAATGTAATAATGTATTTTTATGTAGGTTATTATATTTTTAAATTAAAAATGAAATTTGTAGTTATTTATATTGATGAGATTTTAAAGAAAACCCATAATTTATGGGATCAAAAACATTAAAGATAAATTATATTCTCCAATATATTGTGTGTGTGTGTGTGTAGACACACGGGTGCGTTCATCAAAACTAACGAAAAAAATTATTGTACCAAAATATGGGTACATTTTCCAAAATAAAAAAAAAAGAAAAAAAAAACAAGAAGAAGATATTATGCGTAATAACATTATTAAATTTCTTTTATTAAACTTGACATAGATACATTCTCCAATCAACGAAACTTAATGGACCCACATAAGTTTATATAATGGATTAGGAAAAAAATTGAATGAATTTTATATAAAAAAATGGATGCATTTTATATAAAACAAGGTACATTTCACATATTCCAATTATACCGCTGACATCATCACCACCGGATCTGTGAAATGCCCACCCGTTGGTCTGCAAGGCCTGGAAATATAAGAGCTCTGTTTATTTCAATTCGATTATTGTCGTTACATCAGGTAGCTTTGGACATGGCAGTGATGATGGAGGCAGATGGTGAACAGATGATGATATTGTACACCATCATTCAATACATGATATTGAACGGCAAGGTGAAAAGAATATTTGGGAAGAAGACGAAAAGCTACATATGCTTTTGATTTATTATTTTTGATTTATTTTAGAGAGAACATGATTGGATTTCGGATAAAAAAAAAGTTAGATTTCCAATTAAAAAAAAGTTTGATAGGAGTTGAACTCTTAAGTGAGGGTAAGTGAATGACTTTATTCCAATAAAAAAAGTTAGATTTCCAATTAAAAAAAGTTTGATAGGAGTTAAACTCTTAAGTGAGGTTAAGTGAATGACCAAATGTTAAATCGGTTCTACTAAAAATATTTTGTTTTTTTTTTTTAAAAAAAAAAACTAATTTTAAATATATTTTAAACTGATGCTGCAAAAAATTGTCGATGAATGGTTGGATTGATGGCATGCATATAATTATCTTGAAAGTTTTGATTATACTAAAACTATACAAATTGAATCTACTAAAAAGTATTTAAATATATTTTAAACTGATGCTGCAAAAAATTGTCGATGAATGGTTGGATTGATGGCATGCATATAATTATCTTGAAAGTTTTGATTATACTAAAACTATACAAATTGAATCTACTAAAAAGTATACAAACTGATTATATATGTATTTGATAATGATTCCACAAAAATGGTCGATGGGTTAGACTAATGACTTGCATGTAATTTTGTTCAAAATATACAAACTGATTCTACAAAAATAGTCGACGACGGATTAAACTGATTCTGCAAAAATGGTTGTCACGTCCCGAACCTGGGGTCAGTAATGAAAATTCGAACCTGAATCCGAAATGTGAGTTAAAAGCTCAATAAATAAAAGAAAATTGAAAAAATAAATTCCTCTTATAAAAATAACTCATGATTCTTAAACAAATCAAGAATTCTTTACAACTTACAGTAAATAAATGAATAAACATTCTACTCTCACATCTAATCTGATCTCATCTTGCCTACCCTCTTGAATGTCTAGTTCGCAAACCTGCATAACAATAAAGGGATGAGCTTCAACAGCTCAGCAATGACATAACCTTATCATAGTAAATTGACAATATTAAATTAAGTGTGATGAAATCATATAGCCAAATATCAAATTATTCTTGATAACAATGCTTGTATGCAATCCAACCTCTTCAGCTACACCCATTAATTTATATAATAAAAAACGCAGACATGCACGTCCCATACCATGAACTTTACCACTGCAAAGGTGGTTCGAATGTTCTATTATAAAAACTAACCCCCATATAGTATCCCAAGTTCATAAACTCCTTTTACTAGTCATCTTATCTAATTCATTGATCTCCAGGCCAAATCACCCACATCGACAACCTATTCTAATGTGCACACCGGGCTCGCCTGCAATTGGTTTCACAATGAATAGATTCAACTACACAAAAGATCCTTTCCAACTACCCTCATTTCCCGAATTCCAATCTCAACATTGAAGTTCCAACTACATCTCACAACATGAGTTATGCACAAATAATGTCATTTCATCTTTTGCATGTATCACAATATATTCTCAACGAATAGCATTCCAACAATAATTCCATAACCAATAACAAATAAACACTTAATTGAAGCAATTAGCTAATTAATATCCAATCACATTAATCAACCAAAAAACCAAGAATATTATAACACTTCACGAAATTTAATAAAATCAATTTCCGTAAAGGTCTGCCTTATTTCCCATACCTAGATTCCAAAGCTAAAACGAAGATCCATGTCACTATTGGAATAGCTAAGCTCCACATACTTATTGTGGAGCCAAAAATAATAAAGAAAATTATGGAGGCGACACGGGAACTTTTGGGTAAAAAGATAAAATTACCCTTGAGACACATCGGGATTCCCATGTGCATGCAACGGATAATAACGGCTTAATCAAGGTCAAAGGTGATCAAAATGATATTTATTCAAAACCCTCTCATCACTCCTCATCAAATCCTCACCCATAAGGTAACTCCCAATTATTCTTTTCAAATTGGGATTAATTACTAAATTAATTGCAATATATTATTTGACATAAAATCTTGCAATTATATTCAAAATAACACCATAAGTGGCCGGTTCCTATTTCTCCAAATAGGGCCAACCACATCCTTATATATAGCCCCATCTTCACACCAAAATGCAAGTTCATTCTCTCCCAAAAAATTCCAAAACACTTTTTCTTTCAAATTCTAACTTTGGCATATGAGATTCTTTGCCCAAAGCCACATTCATCGTGGGCGCGTGAGACTTTTGGCCTTAATCTTAGGTATTATTATTTTGTAGGTGCATTTTCGTCAAAGAAGGCGGAAATTTGCATCCACACTTATCCATGACACTACCGAAATAGCTAAACTCCATGTACTTAAGCAAGTTCCTTGATCACTCCTAAATCATCATGTATTTCTTCCACTCTTTTGTATTCTAATCTCCCTCTATACATACACACACAGGTATATATGTATATAAATTGACACTTTGCATGGCTGCATGCAATATGATAAAAGGGGAAAAGGTTGATAAATAATGTGCATAAAATTGAGAAGGGTGGAAGCTATTTATAGGAGACAAAGTCTGGCAACTATCCTCATTCTATCTTGGTAGGACCAATGGTAAAGAAAACTTAATAGCTAAGAGTCCATAAATTGAAATGGATAATGATTGTCTAGAGTAGGATGTGTCAATAACCTGAGTTATCAAAAGAAGATGATGAAGTGTAAAGGTGCAAGTGTTGATATACAAAAAGAAGAGGGAAATATCATATTAGCCAGCTCAAGCTATAAAGAAGCTTACGAGTACCTTTTAATGAGTGGTAGGATTTGTATGAATAATAGCTAGACACCTTGACAACTTGATGTTTATCAAGTGAATGTAGTAGAACATTGTAGAAGGGTATAAACTTATTAACCAAATAAATATTCACGTGGGGAGCTGCTTGTTATGGTTCATCAAGTGCAAACTTAAGGCAAATCTAGAAATAATAATATGTATATATAAGAAAACCCAATAACAACTTTTTAAAATGATAATAATAATAATAATAAATATATATTTTAAAAATATGGAATCTCACAATGGTCGAAGACAGGGTGAATTAATTTTGCAAGAATTGTCGAAGATGGTTGAATTGATTTTGCAAAAATTGTCGAAAACGGTTGAATTGATTTTGTAAAATGGTGGATAGCGAGTTGAACTGATTCTGGAATAATGGTGGAGAGCGGTTTGAACTGATTGTGCAAAAATGGTCGAAAATGGGTTAAACTTATTTTGTAAAAATGGTGGATGACTGGTTGAACTGATTCAACAACAATGGTCGATGACAGATTGAATTGAATCTGCAAGATGGTCGGGATAGGTTGAACCGATTAGGTAAAACTGATTGAGGACAAGTTGAACTGATTTTGGACAATTGGTGGAGGATGGGTTGAATTGATTATGCAAAAATGATCAAATACGGGTTGAATTAATTCTGAAGAATGATCAAGGACGGGTTGAATTGATTGTGCAAAAATGATTGAAGACATGTTGAATTGATTCTGCAAAAATGGTTGAGAACTGATTGAACTAATTCTGCAAAAATGGTTGAGAATGGGTTGAACTGATTCTAGTAATAAGGATACAAACTGATTCTACATATAACTTCAAAATTGATTTTGCAGAAATAGTCAAGAATAAGTTGAGTTTACGGCACATATCAATTTTGTTGGAGTTGTGATGGCTGAGTTATATTAATAGTCCTAAACCTTAGGAGTATAGTTGATATTTTAAAATATTATTTCCATGTTTTGGGTCATTCTTGAGCTGTTTTTATGTTTTTACCTTTCCTACATGTTTAAAAACTAATGAATTTTCTTGAAATAAATGAAAGTTTTTGTCTTTATATACAGCTATCCTTAAATAAGAATCTTCATAAAATCTCCAGCTCATGTTTTTTCGCACCAAATTTCATAACTTGACACGGAAGTTGTGTAAAAACACATGAGCTGAAAGAGCTGCTTACGAGCGTCTTATTTTGGGAGAATTTTCCTTAGCATTTCTCTTTGTGCGGAATTACATCTATAACTTTATTTTGTGATAAAAAGACTGAATCGCTTTTCCCGCTTTTTTGGTTCACAAAGAAAATTTTGTTAATTAGTTTAGATACCTTTCCGCACTGAGTGCTGGATTGTATGAAAGTGGGAGAATCCAGCACATCGCCCACTTGAACAAAGGCTTGATTACCAGTGTACGAGGAAAGATCACGTACCGTCATTTGCCTGCGAAAAGTAACGCACGCGACCCTCTGGTCTGGTTAGGTTTTTCTTGATCAGAGCTCTGATTTTTGTTTTTTTTGTTAGCAGCAGGAGGACGAAGTTGTTTATTTTGTTAGCAGCAGCAGCAGCAGCAGCAGGAGGACGAAGAGATACTTGTGCCGTACTCGGATTTGGTCGAAGGCCCTGCGCCTATGGAAGGTTTAATTTTTAGCAATTTTTCGATGATTTACTGTTTGAATTTCTTAAGTTTGTGTTTACGGTGTTGCATAATCTGAAAGAATTGATTTTTGTGCGAATTTGGTGTCACGGGGTTTGATTAGAGGGCAAGTGATTGCATTTTCTTTAGTGTGTTGGTTTTGTTGTTTTGAAATTTATGGTATTTGGTGTGTTGCTAGTAGCCCAAGTGGAGCCGGCTTGTACAGTTGATAGTCAGCCAGTGGAGGATCCTCCAGCGATGAAATTCGTTTGGCCAATTGAGCACTTTACTAGGTTGAACACCAAAAAGCACTACTCTGACATGTTCGTTGTTGGCGGCTATAAATGGTATTTTCTCGCCTACCAGATGTCAAAAACTGATTTATGCTGCTTAAGTTTGGCTTATATTTGTATCTCGGCGATTGGATTTTGAATTGCTTTTGGTATGTTTGATCAGGCGGATACTAATATTTCCCAAGGGAAAGAAAGTGGACTACTTGTCAATGTATTTGGATGTGGCAGATTCCGGGACGTTGCCATATGGGTGGAGTAGATATGCGCACTTCAGCTTGGCAGTAGTAAATCAGATCCATCCCAAGTACTCAATAAGAAAGGGTAGATTCCTTTATTAGTCTTATTTCCTTTTAGCATTCAATTATGTGCTTTTGCCTGGATATCGTTTTCTTTGTTCTTTCATTAAGAGCTTTGATTGTCGTTGGTAGTCATGGACACCCAAGGCTGTTAATTAGAACTTATTATCCTTGAAATGAATGTATTGGCTTTCAACTTCATAGTTCTTGGGTGATGCAATTTGAACTCAATCAATATCTGATTAGTCACCCTAATCTTGTTATGGTGAGCTCTTAATTCTAATTTTATTCATTGGAAAATCAAAACTATAAATTTGGCTCACGGCAGCGGCACCACTGACTATGCCCATGGTGACCTTGTTTTGGGATTTTTGTAGTTTGAGAAAAAGGAATAGAAAAATTATGGAGTAAAACGTGCCAACAGATGTTAGAAGTAAGTTGAAAACCAATAGATTAGTCCTTTTAGGCATCTAGATGTCAAATATTGATTAAAAGTAAAAGTAGAAAGTTAGAAACAGGAAGAATTTACTTAGAAACTGTGTGCAATTAAGCAAGAACTCTAGTTAATGAAAAGGCTAACTAAATCAAGGGTTTCCATTTATTAAGGGATGAGCATGAGACGGGTCTGGCTACCTTATTAAAATTGGAGAATTGAAGTTCAAATATTTTAACAAATTGTATTATGTTTGTGTGGCCTATGTTGCAGAACGATAATTTGAAATGCTGTTTAACAAGAACCGAACAAACTGAATCGTATTCTAGACGTTTTTAAGACCTTTGTCCTTGATTGTTGTATGATATTGCAGACACACAACACCAGTTCAATGCAAGAGAAAGTGACTGGGGATTCACTTCATTCATGCTTCTTGGTGATCTTTATGACCAGAGTAGGGGATATCTGGTGAACGATACAGTTGTGGTTGAAGCTGAGATTTCTGTCTCTAAGGTTCTTGATTACGGGTCATATGACTCGAAAAAGGAAACTGGTTATGTTGGGCTCAAGAATCAGGGAGCAAATGGTCATATGAATTCTCTACTCCAGACTTGGTACCATATACCATACTTCAGAAAGGTCGTTTACGTGATCTCCTGTTGTTACTGTAAGCTAAACATGAATTGTCTTTTGAATTTTATATGCAAGATCTTAATGTTGGAGTTACTTACCAGTGTGTGCATCATGTGCCGACAACTGAGGATGGCATGCCTTCAGGAAGCATCCCTTTGGCACTACAACGTTTATTCTATAAACTTCAATACAGTGAAAGCAGTGTTGCAACTAAAGAATTGACCAAGTCTTTTGGTCCCACGCATGATTTGTTTATGAAACATGACCCGCCGGAACTTAATAGAGTTCTTATTGAAAAGCTTGAAGATAAAATGAAGGTATGGGAATGTTTCAGTTTTTTCCGTGAGTATAGTTTGTGTTTCATTTTCATTCTGATAATTGTTCTGTGGGTCCAGGGAACTATTGTGGAGGGTACAATACAACAGTTATTTGAAGGACATTACAGGAATTACATTGAATGCTTCAATGTGGACTACAAATCTACATGGAAAGAATCATTTTATGGTAATATTTTCTGGCACGGTTTAAAGTGTTAAGAGTGTGAAGTAGTTTGTGAATGTCAATGCATGCTGCTGGTTTCTTCTTATTTCTTTGCAGACCTCCAGCTTGATGTGAAAGGCTGTCGGGATGTTTATGCTTCTTTTAGTAAGTTTGTGGAAGTCAAACGTCTTGAGGGTGACAACAAATACCACTCCGAAGAACTCGGTTTGCAGGTTAATTACCGAATTCCATTGGTGACTGCATTTATACTGTGATTCTAATCTGAGGCTGCTATTAGTTGTTTCCTTCCACAAACCACTCTACAAAACTAGTGGTCTTACATTATTTCCTCTTCCACTTAGATTTTTAATATATGGTTCTCACAATGTTATATTTTAAGTTCTGATTGGATGCCGTCCTTAGTTTTGTCTTTTCATTAAATCACTTGCTGAAGCCAGTATTCTTACATATATTTCTTTGATATTAAAAATTTAAAATATTGTTCTCAAGGAATATTTTGGATGTTTATTCCAGGATGCTAAGAAGGGTGTCCTGTTTATTGACTTCCCTCCTGTTCTTCAACTTCAGCTAAAGCGATTTGAATATGATTTTATGCAGGATACTACGGTTAAGGTTTGTACTGGAAGCTCATCTTACTCCTGCTTCATCTGCATGTTTTATTACATGAAACATTGAAAGTGTAACGCTTTACTACAAAGCTTCTTAGTTGAAAACAAAACTGTAGCATGTAAATTTTTTTCTTCAAATTTTGTATAAGTTCAGGTGAAGGACTTGTCTTTGCCTAATGGTTAGCATCTAATTTTGATTTTAATTTTTGTTTTATGATTGAATGATGAAAGACCGATCAAATGCCATGTATATGCTTCTTTTTGCTCCTTTTTTTATTTTTTTTTATTTTAAAAGCCTCATTGTTTTTCAGTTTTGTTTTGTCCCCCCTTTTAGTTGAACATTCTCAATCTAGTGGATTGTTTTTATTCAAAGTTATATATGCTAATGAAATTTGATTTTACGTCTTGGGTATGTTTGTTCATGTGACAGTGATATTTTTTAAATGGAACGCAAATAAACTGTCATGGTAAGAATGTTGTATTATTTGTTTTTGGCAGATAAATGATCGCTATGAATTTCCTCTTCAACTTGACCTTGATAGGGAGAATGGAAAATATCTATCACCTGAATCAGATAAGAGTGTTCGCAACCTCTACACTCTTCATAGGTATCTATTTTGCCTTGCACTATTGCACGATATAATATGGTTCATCTGTTTCCTAAATTTGGCATGTTATTTCAATGAATATTACTTTCTAGACCTTTGTATGCACTCTGTGCATAGCATTCTTTACCGAGTGTAACATAATCAATTTTGCTTCTCCTTGACATATGATATCTCCATGGTCATTCATGATATCATATGACATGGATAGATCAAATTTTCTCCATTGAAGTTGAATCTGTGCTATATAACTATTGATCCATGGTCATTCATGATGTCTAGGAGTCTCTTTATTTATCAAAGTTCTTTCATGCCTACAGCAATTGAAGCATTGTGCCTCTGTGGTATTAGTTGATTGGGTGGGATTATGAAAAAAGTTTCATGTTTAATTTATCCTTTTAAAAAATCCTAATGAATATCTGAAGACGGTTATTCGAGCCTGCTTTTTCATCTGCCTGTTTGGTGCTCTTCATGTTGTGTGGAGCTTCAAATTTTTACATTGTAATTGGTTACTAAGATAATTTTCTACTGTTGCAGTGTCTTGGTTCATAGTGGTGGGGTTCATGGTGGACATTACCATGCTTTCATCAGACCAACCCTTTCAGACCAGTGGTACGGATCTCCTGGAATCGACTCTCTCTGTAATTGTTTGCAGTCTCACACACAAAAAACACACGACCATGACACCAAAAACACGACCACGAGACAGACATTCTCTCACACTACTCTTTTGCTTTGCTTCTTACTTTTCTTTGTTACTCCTTATTCAAATAACTTGGTTTATTGGAGTCTATTTCTTACATTGCTTTCCCTATGGACTTTGACACCATAACTTGGTTACCTGACTGCCCGTTCGAGAACTTTAAAGAAAGCATCTGTTTTGTTATAACTTATATTCATTTTATTTTTTCAAGTAATACTTTGAAGTTTGCATTTCCTTATTCGGATTTTTGTGCATGACTGAGTGTTCTTGTGCATGCATTTCATATGTGTTGATGTAATTTGTCACATCTTGTTTTAGGTACAAGTTTGGTGATAAATGTGTGACAAAAGAGGATGCGAAGAGGGCTTTGGAAGAGCAATATGGTGGTGAGGATGAGGTAGTTTATTTTTGGCTGTATCCCAACTGCTATAATTCTCCTTATTTTAAGGTTACTTAATTCTCAACTGACCTATTGTTGTTTTCTTTCCAACGGTTGCCACAGACCAGTCCTGACTTCAATAATACTCCTTTCAAATTGACAAGATACTCAGATGCATACATGCTTGTGTATGTACGGGAAAGTGACAAGGACAAAGTAATATGTAATGTGGATGAGAAAGACATAGCCGAACATCTGAAGGTAAAATGCTTGTCTTTACTTCTAGTTAATGGTAGTATAGGTTCTGGATTCCAGGGTCGGACTAAGGGGCTGAGCCTTTTTTCTATGATTCATTTCAGATAAGATTGAAAAAAGAACAAGAGATAGAGAAGAAAGAGAGATTTAAGGAACAAGCAAACCACTACACTATTATTAAGGTAAAGCTTTCTAGTTTATCCCTGTTCAGAATCTTCAGAAGTGCTAGTATAGGTATTTGGTGTACACAAAAAAATAATAACAAAATTTATTGATATGTTTAGGTTGTTCGAGATGAGGACCTGGCAGAACAAATTGGAAGGGATATATATTTTGACCTTGTTGATCATGACAAAGTTCGTAAATTCCATATTCACAAACAAACATCCTTTAATAATTTCAAGGTACACTAGTACAGGCTGACTTGTGTGCATTTTTGTCTTCTTTATCCCTTACTCCATTTTTGGGCGTATGGGAGATTGGTGATTTTAGAGCAAAAAATTCTGAATTCTGTTTTATTAATTATTAGAAATCATAATTTGGAAATGGCTAACAGGAGGAGGTTGCAAAAGAGTTTGGCATACCACTGCAGTTTCAGCGTTTCTGGATTTGGGCCAAGAGACAAAACTACACCTATCGCCCCACTCGACCATTGACACCTCTGGAAGAATCACAATCAGTATGTACTTCACAATTCCTATCTATGAAAGGATTTTCTATACAATCATAAACTTGGAGGCACAGCTCCTTGTTCCTTTTGTAATTCATAATTCTCATTGTGTCTCAATTTTACTTTGGTGCGTCCGACACTAAGTTTTCAAGTTTATGAACGATTGATGTATGCTTATAACTGTCGATTTCTCTTGCGAAATTGGAATTTAAAAAGTTCTTAATTTACATTTTGATAATCATTATGCTTCCAGTATTTTGATAATCATTATGCTTCCAGTATTGGATGAGGCATTTTAAATGAAGTTATTATAGTATAAAAAAATTCTGATGGGCAGTGATAAACATTTGATCTCTGATTTTGAAATGATTGATAGTGTTTTAGCTGTACATTGGTTCCAAGAAGAGCTAATGATGATCCCTTGTGTTTTTACAGGTTGGACAAATTGAAGGGGTATCAAATAAAATGCACAATGCGGAGCTAAAGTTGTTTTTGGAAGTAGAGTTTGGACCGGTAATCCAGTGTTACTATATTCTTGTTATGACCTGTGTTTTGAGGCTTATTGTAGTTCCAATTGCTTTATGGAAGACATCATGTCTTATATTTTCTTGCTTGTATAAATTCTCCAGATTCAACGTCCTATTTCTCTGCCTAACAAAACCGAGGAAGATATCCTGCTTTTTTTAAAGCTTTATGAACCTGAGAAACAAGAACTACGGTATGGCTCTTTCTGCTCAGCCGAATAGTTCTCTTTTGAGTTTTGACTCATGTTTGCTGATTTAAGTTTCTTTTCTGTTTCCAGTTTTGTTGGCAGGCTTTTCGTGAAGAGTTTTACCAAGCCAGTGGAGATTTTAGCAAAGTTCAATCAACTTGCTGGTTTTTCCCTTGATGAAGAAATTGAAATTTATGAGGTGTGTTTCACATTAACTTTGTAGCTTCAGCTGTGTCTAAACTCAATAAATACGTACATTTAGAATGTATATGTGTTTGTCCTGCATTCAGGAAATAAGGTTTAAGCCTTCTGTCATGTGCCAACGCCTTGACAAGATGATCTCATTTCAGTCGAGCCAGGTAATTGTTGCTATATTGCATGCTTGGTATATTGGAAACATGTGTCTGCTATAAGATTTAAATTTGATGCTTTTATAGGTTTGTTGGTTCTGGTAGTTAATCTGTTGCTTTGCTTTTCCAGATTGAAGATGGGGACATTATATGCTTTCAGAAATCTACTCCGCTTGAAATTGACAAAGGATGTAAATACCCTGATGTTCCTTCATTTTTGGACTATGTGCACAATCGCCGGGTACAGGCTGTGGAAATTTATACTATGTTTTGAGTTTAAATTAGATTTCGTTATTCAATTAGTGGTTTTTCACGTTCTTTTACTTTTGTTGTCAGTGTTTTTTTATTTTGTATTTTGTTGAATGTTAAACCTAACTATATTGAATGATTTGATGCCATACAGATTGTTCATTTCCATTCTTTGGAGAAACCGACGGTGGAGGATTTTTGTTTAGAATTGTTAGTACTTAATCATTGTCCCTCATAGTTGGACTGTCCATCTTTGTTTTATTGTTTGGTGCCAATGCTATAACTGTTTTTTTTTCCTTGTACTTTTCTAGGTCAAAGCTACACACTTATGATGATGTGGTGGAGAAATTAGCTCACCACATTGGTTTGGAGGATCCTACCAAAATCAGACTCACTGCACATAACTGCTATTCTCAACAACCTAGGGCCCAACCAATCAAATATCGGGGAGTAGAGCATTTAACAGAAATGTTAACTCATTACAATCAAGTAAGTGCATCATATTGGTCTCCTCTGTTGTTTAACTCTCTCATAAGCATCATGTGGTGTGGGTACTAATTATGCTTTGCCTTTGACAGAACTCTGATATTTTGTACTATGAAGTCTTTGAAATTACCCTGCCAGAATTGCAAGATCTGAAACATCTGAAAGTTGCTTTTCATCATGCTACAAAAGATGAGGTCCATGTGAAATATTTGGTCTGCATCTTCTGTGTGTGGACGATTGTGCACATCATAATCTTGTGTTATTTGTTTGCAGGTGGAGATTCACTGTATTAGATTGCCTAAACAGAGCATTGTTGGGGATGTGATTAATGTACTTAAAACGAAGGTGAAGTTTCTCTCTCTCTCTCTCTCTATGCATTCCATGTATTATCCATGACTTGCCATCTAAAAATTTCTGCCAATCGTATGAGAAGTCCTCTGTTTGTTTTTAGTTTTTCATTTTTTGTTCAGGAAAGCTAATGACGCTTATCTTACATTACTTTAGGGCTGCAGGGCTTGTAAAAAATATGTGACCTTTAATTGAAAACTACTCTTTTCCCTCCCTTCTACTGGTTTCTGTACTTTCTGTCCTTTATAGTTGCCAATAATGGATTACACTCAACTTGCAGTGGCGATCATTAATTGACAAAAGTGGTAGAAATTGTTATCACAGCCTCTTAAACAGTTTTCTTATAATGGATCTTTCTCAATGTGTGGTGTACCTGAAACAGGTAGAGCTGTCTCATCCAAATGCAGAACTTCGACTGCTTGAGGTTTTCGATCACAAGATCTACAAGGTAATTACTGCTGGTATGCCTGATGTATCAGCATGTTAGCAATTTTTTTTCTGGTCTTAAGTAATTGTAGCATGCCTCATTTGTGATGCTGATTTGGTATCATGATGCTTTTGCTTATTTTCAGGATCTTATTGTATATGAATCCCTTCTACTGTATAGACTGATGTAATTTTGTCTGATGTAGCAGTAGCACTCATAATTCCTTGTGTTCTTTTTCAGATCTTCCCAAACAGTGAGAAAATTGAGAATATTAATAACCAGTACTGGACTTTGCGTGCAGAGGAGGCAAGTCCCTTTTCCCCCTCTTCTTTATTTAGTTTTATTTTGAAGAGTTTCTGGTTTAACTCTTGAAATTTTTTATATAGCTTTATGGGCAAGATTCGTAATTCTGTTTGTTTTCACTTTCTGGATCAACATCCCTTCTACTGTATAGGATTGAATTGGATTCATGCAGCTGTCTTTTTTTCTTTTATTTATTTTTTTTCTTTCTTGTGGATCAGATTCCAGAAGAAGAGAAAAACTTGGGTCTCTATCGTCGCTTGATTCATGTTTTCCACTTCACGGTTACTGTATTGAACCAGATGGTAGATGTAAACTATTTGATTAATGTTAAAGATGATTTTACCCAAAACTGTGATTTTTCGAATCGGTCATATTCTTATTATTTGTACATTTTACAGCAAGTGCAAAATTTTGGGGAACCTTTCGTATTGGTTATCCATGAAGGGGAAACTTTAGCTGAAGTTAAAAAAAGGATACAAAAGAAATTGCAAGTCCCGGATGAGGAGTTCTCAAAGGTACTTGACCCATGCCTTATATTCATTGGGATGGGGTCACTAGAGGAAAGGAGTGTTCCTTCGCTAGTATAAATGATCTTTTATTTTGCTTCCTTGTCAATTTCCCCATTTGTTGTGCAGTGGAAGTTTGCATTCTTGTCACTTGGTCGTCCAGAGTACCTGCAGGATTCTGCTATTGTTTCCAGACGATTTCAGGTGTATCTACGGCCTATCGCAACTCGTGTCCCCCTTTCTTTTATATTATGTCTGCAGCCAATCTAAACCATGTTTATGGGTATTGCCTAGGTGGATTTCTTTTTTAACTTCCAACATTTGAAATTTTGTTTTCCTCAGAGGAGAGAATCTTATGCCACATGGGAGCACTGCCTTGGGTTGGAGCACTCTGATAAAGCTCCTAAGAGGGCTCACGCAGCAAATCAAGTAAGTGCTGTTGTAAATATTTCTTTTCCAACCTCTATTTGCCAGGCAGAGCCAACTCCACAAGAAGACATAAGAATCCGACCGAGCCCACATTCATTTTTAAAAAATTTAATCTTCATACTAATCTCTGGACTCTGATGCAGGCTGCCCAAGTAACCTTAGAGTCCATGGCGTCTAATGTTGGCCATGAGACAGCAAGCAGAGAAATTGAAATGCAAAATGATGACCTGGATGGCCCTGCTTCTCCAGCAGTTGATCGAACTCTGAGAAGACTTTCTGCTGCAGAGGATCTATTGAAGTCCACTTCAGCCAGAGGACCATCAGTAGAGGCTTTGGCTGCATTAGACACTGTGAGCCGCTATGCAAGGAGCAGCCTAGACACACTCTGCACGAATGGGGCTTATGAGGAGTTCAAAGCAGCCTTGAAACTCGTGACTGAACAAGGGATGATCCATTCAACGATCACTTCCATGTTCAAGGATCTTCTTTCGTCTTTGGAGGGTGAAATGCCGAAGTACGTGGCCGCAGTAAAAGAGCTTGCCCAAGCTGAAGATTTTCGAGTCGAACACGAAGGGATAATAACTCAAATGGGACTGGCCATGCAGAAATGCCAAGAGAGGAAAGACATTGTGGCCAATTATGATGCCAAGGTTACAGAACTCGAGGCTGAACTGGTCCGAGTAAAGGCAGAACGAGCTGAGGCAATGGCGAATCTAGAAACTGCTGTGGATGAAATGGAACCTCTTAAGCAGAGGTTTGCAGATAGCTCATTAAAATCTGAAAACTTGATTGTGAGGCAGGCTACCTTGACATTGCAAAAGTGTAGTTCTGTTGGAACCTGGGCCGTCATACAAGATGCACTGAAGAAGTACTTTAAGTTTTAGAAATATTTGCTTTTGTGAATAAGCCCTTTCTTGGCCCAAAAGTTTGTATGAACATGCAAAGAAATGAACACGTCGTGCAAAATTCAGGTAGCTTGTTTCCTCACATTGCTCGAGTCTGAATGGGAAGGAAGATAATTGTGCTGATGGGTGTTTTTCGTTTACACTCCTACCCCTCCTCGTTTGGTAACTCCGAAAAAAATTGTGTTTTTGTCCTTGTTTAACAACCACACATTGTCTAACCAACACTTCCTTGCGGAAGAGTAGTGGCTGATCTACCTCATAGCAGAAGGAATCGAAGCTAGACTTCGAAGTAAAAAATCCCAATTTTATAAATTAATGAAGGAAAGACCAACGTTGTGGATGGGTTGAGCTTTGCTCTTGCAATTGGGTAGTTATGACTACTAGTTGGATATCTTGGCGGTAAAGGGTCACTAATAGAATTCGAACCCACGCCGTCATGCAAAAACACAACATTTTTTCACTACTGTGGTAAAGGGTCACTTGCCAACAAGTTGATTGGCCTACGTGACTTTACTAATACTATTCCAAGTCATACATGAAACATACACATTTGTCCTTTCATGCCGCTTGGTTATAAGTAAACATCATGCACAATTTGCTTATTAATTAGTACTACTCATATTCAGTTTGTATCATGACCGTTTTCTTTCTGTTATTCATACGCCCAAGACATTGTAAGAAATAATGTTGATTATTCAAAACGAATCAACAACTAGTTGCACATGGTCACAGTCAGTGATACCCCAACTTGATAAAGAAAGAAGAAAAAAAAAGGAAGTCAACTTCCAAACTAAAATAAAATGTATATAAATATAGAAAATTTTTATTAGCACTCCAAAAATCTCATTTGTCACTTCAAATTTTCTATAATTAGAAAGAAAAATACACTTGTCCAAAGTGTAGAATGAGATTTTTGGAGTGCTAATAATAGTTCCCTAAATATATCTTAACAAATATTGTATGTGGCATTGATTTAGACTTTCGCGAATAGACTTATAATTTATGGTATCTAATAAATATCTAGATTGAAAATATTCATCGATCTACAAAATTTTCTCATGGAGGTACCTATTTTTTGCCACAGATAACAATATAGAGGCTAAAAGACACTACGATATTAAATTCATATGCGGTCGAGATATTCATGAATTTAATCATTAAAATGCATAAGCTCAATTATACATTCAAGTTAGATCAATTCCTGAAATTTTGGTCAACAATAAAAATTGCTTACCCATGAGTTCACTTATAAAACGTGCAAAGGTAATATATTTTTTTACCACAATTCTATGTATTGTAAATTTTTGTCCGCAACTTTTGTGGCATATAGAGGCTAAAAGATACTATGATATTAAATCCATATGTGGTTGAAATATTTATCAGTTTAATCATTAAAATGCATAAACTCAATTACACATCTAGGTTAGATCAATTCCTGAAGTTTTGCTCCACAATTAAAACTGCTTAGATATGAGTTCGCCTTTAAAAGGTGCAAAGATGATATACTTTTTAGCCACAGTTCAATGTAATGTGAATTGTTGTCTGCAACTTTTGTATCTAATAAATATCCATGGTTTCGACAAAAAAAAAAAAAAAAAAAATCCACGGTTAATAGTATTCATTGATCCACCAAAAGTTATCATGGACGTACCTATTTTTCTACCACAGATAAGAATATAGAGTCTAGAAGATTCTCATTTAATTGAAACATACCAAACTCATTAAACACTCTAACCAGAAGCTCATTTATTTGAAAAGAAAAAGGAATCAATACGTAAAAATTGAACCAATCGATTGAACACATACCAATTATTAAGCTAATTAGTGCCCTAGAAATTTAGAGATGTCAAATGATGAAGAAAAGGAAGAGGAGGAGGTTTCGATGACTACAGAGGAGTGAATGGGGGTGTAGAATGACAACCATGGTAGATGGAAGGATTTTTTTAAAGAGAGAAAGGAGGGGTTTTGCTCCATGGAGATGATGGACTGGTTAGGGTTTTATTTTTTATTTTTAAGTAGATTGAGTTGGGTGTAAAAAGAAGTTTGATTGAGTTGAGTTTTGATAAGTAAGGACGGTTTTGGAAATAACATTAGGTGTAAAGAGATAATAACAGATCAATCAAATACAATGTGGATATAAAAACTAAGTTGGGTGTTGAGATACAAAATATGGGTTCAAATAATTTTTTTTTTAATAAACGATATTATCTTCATTAAAAATGAGGAGGTGCTAAATATACAAATGCTTATATTTATACAATGCATTTACTTGGTGTACAAGTATCTCATTTTATACAGTAAATACAATCATGACGAGATTACAACGTCAAATCCTAATACAGTTGACTTTGACAAAGACTCCTCTAACACTTCCTCTCGCCCGCCTCTCCTTCTTTCACTGTTTCATTCGTCTCTCAGCTCCACCGATACGACTGCTTACTGCTCAACAGCAATGGCGATCAATACTCCTCCAACGTCAGCTGTACGTACCGACTCGTCCTCTACTTTTTCTGTCTCGTTTTTTCATTAAATTTCTGCTTCATTCTTCGTTTTTGATCGCCTAGGATTCCTTGTTCTATCCGGCATTTTCAAGCCTGCTAGAATTTTGAAAATTCACCTGTTTACAGAAGTTGATTTGCTTGGGTTATAATTCAGTAGATTAGGGTTACTGGGTTAGGTTTTTTGTCGATCAGAGCTCTGATTCCGTTTGTCTTTCCAGCAGCAAGGGCACAAAGCACTCCACTACACTATTATAAGGGTAAAGCTTTCTAGTATCCTGTTTTCACCATTGCTTGTTCGGATGAGCTAGTACAGTCATTTGGTGTTTATTGGTATGTTTAGGCTGTTCGAGATGAGGACCTGGCAGAACAAATTGGAAGGGATATATATTTTGACCTTGTTGATCATGACAAAGTTCGTAAATTCCGTATTCACGAACAAATGCCCTTTAATCTTTTCAAGGTACACTGGTACAGGCTAACTTTTGAGGGCAAACAATTATGAATTCTGTTTTATTAATTATTAGAATTTCTAATTTGGAAATGGCTAACAGGAGGAGGTTGCAAAAGAGTTTGGCATACCTGTGCGGTTTCAGCGTTTCTGGATTTGGGCCAAGAGACAAAACCACACCTGTCGCCCCCATCGACCATTGACACCTGGGGAAGAATCACAATCAGTATGTACTTCACTGATTAAGCCCCCTTAAACTCGGAGGCACTGCTCCTTGTTCCTTCGTAATTCATAATTCTCATTTTGTCTGAATTTTTGCTTTGCTGCGTCCGACTCTGAAGTTTTCAAGTTTATGAACTAATGATGTACGGTTATAACTTATAACTGTCAATTTCTCTTGCAAAATTGGATTTTAAAAAGTTCTTAATGCATATTCCGATGCTCATTATGCTTCCAGTGTTGGACGAGGCATTTTAAATGAAGTTATTATAGTACAAAAAAGGTTGATGGGCGGTGATAAACATTTTCTCTCAGATTTTGAAATGATTGATAGTGTTTAAGCTGGACATTGGTGCCAAGAAGAGCTAATGATGACCCCTTGTGTTTTACAGGTTGGACAATGTAGAGAGGTATCAAATAAAATGCACAATAAGGAGCTAAAGTTGTTTTTGGAAGTAGAATTTGGGCCGGTAATCCAGTCTTACTATATTCTTGTTATGACCTGTGTTTTGAGGCTTATTGTGGTTCCAATTGCTTTATGAAAGACATCATTTCTTACATTTTCTTGCTTGTATAAACTCTCCAGAATCTACGTCCTATTCCTCCTCCTGAAAAAACCAATGAAGATATCCTGCTTTTTTTAAAGCTTTATGAACCTGAGAAACAAGAACTACGGTATGGCTCTTTCTGCTCAGCCGAATAGTTCTCTTTTGACTCATGTTTGCTGATTTAAGTTTCTTTTCTGTTTCCAGTTTTGTTGGCAGGCTTTTCGTGAAGAGTTCTTCAAGGCCAGTAGATATTTTAGCAAAGTTGAATCAATTTGCTGGTTTTCCCCTTGATGAAGAACTTGAAATTTATGAGGTTGTTTCACATTAATTTTGTAGCATCAGCTGTGTCCTTAACTTAATATATATACGTACATGTAGAATGTATATGTAAGTTTAAAATTTGATGCATGCTTCGCTGTACCATTCTTCTACAAAAACTAATGTATGTGTTTGTCCTACATTCAGGAAATAAAGTTTGAGCCTGTTGTCATGTGCGAACACCTTGATAAGATGTTCTCGTTTTGGTTGAGCCAGGTAATTGTTGCTATATTGCATGCTTGGTATGTTGTAAATATGTGTCCGCTATAAGATTTAAGTTTTACTCTTTTATAGGTTTGTGGGTAGTTAATCTGTTGCTTTGCTTTTCCAGATTGGAGATGGGGACACTATATGCTTTCAGAAATCTACTCTGCTTGAAATAGACGAAGGATGTAAATACCCTGATGTTCCTTCATTTTTGGACTATGTGCTCGATCGCCGGGTACAGGCTGTGGATTTTTTTTTTTCCTTTTCTGTTTTAGTTGAAATTAGATTTCATTATTCCATTAGTGGTTTTTAACCTCCTTTTACTTTGTTGTCAGTGTTTTTTATTTTATTTTATTTTATTTTTATAATTGTATTTTGTTAAATGTTAAACCAAACGATATTGAATGATTTGATGCTATACAGGTTGTTCATTTCCATTCTTTGGAGAAACCGATGGAGGAGGATTTTTGTTTAGAATTGTTAGTACTTAATCATTGTCCCTCATAGTTGGACTGTCCATCTTTGTTTTATTATTTGGTGCTAATGCTATAACTGCTTTTTTTTTAATTTGTTGTTTTCTAGGTCAAAGCTACACACTTACGATGATGTGGTGGAGAAATTAGCTCACCACATTGGATTGGAAAATCCCACCAAAATCAGACTCACTGCACATAACTGCCATTCTCAACAACCTCAGCCCCAGCCAATAAAATATCAGGGAGTAGAGCATTTAAAAGAAATGTTAACTCATTACAACCAAGTAAGTGGCATCGTACGGAGCTTCCTCTGCTCTCATAAGCGTCCTGTGTCGTGGCCCGGGGTACTAATTATGCTTTTCCTTCTGTAGAGCTCAGATATTTTGTACTATGAAGTCTTGGACATTCCCCTGCCAGAATTGGAAAGGCTAAAAACTCTAAAAATTGCTTTTCTTCATGCTACAAAATATGAGGTCCGTGTGAATATTTGGTCGGCATCTTATGCTTATGAACGATTGTGCACATCATAATCTTGTGTAATTTGTTACAGGTGGGGATTCACAGTATTAGATTGCCGAAACAGAGCACTGTTGGGGATCTGATTAATGTACTTAAAACGAAGGTCAAGTTTCTCTCTATCTATGCATTCCATGTATTATGCATCACTTCCCATCTAAAAGTTTCTGCCAATCGTATGAGAAGTCCTCTGTGTGTTTTTTGTTTTCATTGTTTGTTCAGGAATGCTAATGATGCTATAATACATTACCTTAGCGCTGCAGAGCTTGTAAAAAATATTTGACCTTTAATTGAAAACTACTCTTTTTCCCTCCCTTCGACTGGTTTTTGTGCTTTCTGTCGTTTATAGTTTGCCAATAATGGATTACACTCAACTTGCAGTGGTGGTCATTACTTGACAAAAGTGGTAGAATTTGTTATCACCGCCTCTTAAACAGTTTTCTTATAATGGATCTTTCTCAATGTGTGGTGTACCTGAAACAGGTAGAGCTGTCTCATCCAAATGCAGAACTGCGACTGCTTGAGATTTTTTATCACAAGATCTACAAGGTAATTACTGCTGGTATGCCTGATGTATCAGCATGTTAGCAATTTTTTTCTGGTCTGAAGTGATTGTAGCATGCCCCTTTTGTGATGCTGATTTGGTATCATGATGCTTTTATATTTTCAGGAACTTATTGTATATGAATCCCTTATATTGTATATGAATCCCTCATAATTCCTTGTGTTCTTTTTCAGATCTTCCCATACAGTGAGAAAATGGAGAATATTAATGACCAGTACTGGACTTTGCGTGCAGAGGAGGCCAGTCCCTTTTCCCCCTCTTCTTTATTAGTTTTATTTTGAAGAGTTTCTGGTTTAACTCTGTTGAAAATTTTTATATAGCTTTATGGGCAAGATTCGTAATTCTGTTTGTTTTCCCTTTCTGGATCAACATCCCTTCTACTGTATGGGATTGAATTGGATTCATGCGGCTGTCTTTTTTCTCTTTTTTTTCTTGTGTATCAGATTCCAAAAGAAGAGAAAAACTTGGATCGCTATCGTCGCTTGATTCATGTTTACCACTTCACGAAAGTCACTGTATTGAACCAGATGGTAGAAGTAAACTATTTGACTACTGTTAGAGGTTTCGCCCAAATACTGTTGATTTTTCGAATTGGTCTTATATTCTTATTATTTGTACAATTTACAGGAAGTACACAATTTTGGGGAACCTTTCCTATTCGTTATCCATGAAGGGGAAACTTTAGCTAAAGTTAAAAAAAGGATACAAAAGAAATTGCAAGTCCTGGATGAGGAGTTCTCAAAGGTACTTGACCCATGCCTTATATTCATTGGGATGGGGTCACTAGAGGAAAAGAGTGTTCCTTCGCTAGTATAAATGATCATTTATTTTGCTTCCTTGTCGATTTCCCCATTTGTTGTGCAGTGGAAGTTTGCAGTCGTGTCACTTGGTGGTCCAGAGTACCTGCAGGATTCTGATATTGTTTCCCGACGATTTCAGGTGAATCTACGGTCTATCGCAACTCATGTCCCCCTTTGTTTTATATTACGTCTGCAGGCCAATCTAAACCATGTTTATGGGTATTACCTAGGTGGATTTCTTTTTTAACTTCCAACATTTGAAATTTTGTTTTCTTCAGAGCAGAAATGTTTATGGTGCATGGGAGCAGTACCTTGGGTTGGAGCACTCTGATAATGCTCCTAAGAGGGCTCACGCAGCAAATCAAGTAGGTTCAAGTACAAGCTGCTAAAAGCGCTACAGAACTCGAGGCTGAACTGGCCCGAGTAAAGGCAGAATGAGCAGAGGCAATGGCGGATCTAGAAACTGCGGTGGATGAAATGGAACCTCTTAAGCAGAGGTTCGCAGATAGCTCCTTAAAATCTGAAAACTTGATTGTGAGGCAGACTACATTGACATTACAAAAGTGTGGCTCTGTTGGAACCTGGGCCGTCCTACAAGATGCACTGAAGAAGTACTTTTAATTTTTAGAAATATTTGCTTTTGTGAATAAGCCCTTTCTTGGCCCAAAAGTTTGTATGAACACGTCGTAAGAAATTCAGGTAGCTTGTTTCCTCACATTGCTCGAGTCTGAATGGGAAGGAAGATTGTGCTGATGGGTGTTTTTCGTTTACACTCCTACCCCTCCTCGTTTGGTAACTCCAAAAAAATAGTGTTTTTGGCTTAATCTGTGCCCTTCTAAAAGCGGATCTTTGTTTAAGAACCACACATTGTCTAACCAACACTTCCTTGTGGAGAAGTAGTGGCCGATCTACCTCATAGCAGAAGGAATTGGAGCTAGACTTCGAAGTAAAAAATCCAAGATTTTATAAATTAATGAAGTAAAAACCAACGTGGTGGATGGGTCGAGCTTTGCTCTTGCAATCGAGTAGTTATGACTACTAGTTGGATATCTTGGCGGTAATGATAGGATCTTATACTTGAACCGGTGGCTCGTTCTAGGGGTTGCTATTCAGTTTTTATCATAAATGGCCTATGAAGTTTAGCTAAATTATACAGTTTGTGTTGTGTCACCTATTAACTGTCCAAGTGACCAGGTTGTGATGCAAGTCTATCGTGTGTCATGTCACCTAAAAGTGGGAGTCATTCTCAACAATTTGAATTTCTTAAAAAATAGTAGTGGATTGCAGTTATGGATAGAGTTTTCTTCTTCAACTCATTGTTTACTGAGCCCAAATCATTCCCTGTCCTTAGTATAGTTCAGGGTAACAATGGCGTATGATGATTAGAGTGGAACTTATCACATTTTCTTTAGGGTTTTTGAAATATCTAGAAAATGAATTCTAGATACTTTCATCCATTGAGTTTACATGTATATATATTTTCAAAGAGAACCCTAGCCATATAAAACTAAGACTCTAACTACAAATACAAATCCTCTTATATACATCAGATAACTATGTAGAAGTAGATGAAGCCTTATCAATACTATCGTTAACAAAATAAATGGTATTCGGTGTGCTGGTAGACGCACAATTGGAGGATCCTACAAGAAATTCGACTTACGAAACTGAAGTTGGTTTACTTTTCTTCTTGGTTGATTGGATTTTGAATTGCTTTGGTTTGTTTGATCAGGAGGATACTAATATTTCCAAAGGGAAGCAACAATGTGGGCTGGTTTTCCATCTACTTAGTTGCTACTTGCTGCAGATTGTGGGTATACTTCTTTATCAGTTTTAAATTTTTCTTTGAAATCTTTACTTGCAATTTTACCCCTTCAAAAATCAAAGCAAGAAAGGCAGCTGCCTTACTGAAGTTTTGATGCTTATTCGTCATCTAACTGTTAGATATGATATTCTCTATTTTTGGTTGCATATATAAGTGGATGTATTAAGTAAATGCATGTACCGTAGCCAAGTAATTAAAGGGTTTGAAAAGGTAAGAGAAAATTAGGGGATACAAGTGTAGATCACTAACAGAAAATTGTAGTAGAAACAAAGAAATTCTTGGGTTCAAATAGAATCGCCCTAGCTCTGTTCAAGGTTCTTACAATTTTAATGCCTAATTACCAAACAATGTTTTTGTGGTCTAGTATCGATCAAGTTTTGTTCAATTTTTGAGTATTTTCTAAACCTCGATTCCTGATTCTTTACATGGAGTTTCAGAAATACACCACCAGTTCAGTACAAGGGAAAGTAACCTTGGATTCACCTCCTTCATGCCTCTCATCGAGCTTTATGATCCTAGTAGGGGTTATCTGGTGAATGATACCATCTTCGTTGAAGCTGAGGTTGTCTATACGTCTAGTTAATGCTACATCGAGCATAAGTTCTGTATTCAAGTGTACAACTAAGAGACTGAAGTCACTGAATTGACATTTTTTTAATTTCAGATCAGGACCATAAAGTTGAAGAACGAAGAAGAAGAGAAGGAAGACACAAGGAGATACAAGGCACAAGTGGACTGTTATACTCTTATTAAGGTGAAGACTTCTTGTACATAGCATTGCGTGTTTAGAAGTGCTACTAAGGAAATCATCAGAAAATTATGGAGCAGCAGCCATGGCGGAAACTGGGTGGGGCTTTGCCGTGGAAGGAGGCGCAAAGGCATCTAGGCTTTTGTTTCCTTTTAAATTTTCATTTTTTTTATTTATCAAGAGTGAAATTGAGATTCAATTCCAGTTGTATAAAAGTGGTCGAACGTGGCAAATTTTGAATGGAAGAACCACGAATGATCTATAAGTTATGGAAGAACATTGTCCACCGCTCAAATTTAAAAGAGATGAATCATGAAAAGTGATGAAGTTTATATTATTTTATTTTCGATGCACAAGGAATTAATTTTAATTAAAATATTTCATGATGATGAACTAATCTCCACTGAAAAATGAAACAAATAAATCCTTCGATCTCAAGATAGTTTGTCAATCAATATTTCAATTCTCTTGTGAAAAATGATTTTTAAAACTAATTAAGTAGATCGATTATTGCTATATATGTGCCTGACGTTTCTTTGGGGATGAAGTTGAACCATCACTGTCTACAATTTGTTTTGGGGATGGACCATCCTTTTTGTCTTTTACTTCTTGACTTACTACCGTCTTTGTAGGTCTGAAGATGTAGAAAAGTAATTTGTAGTAAATATCTTTACTAATGTGTGTATAAATAGCACTCTAAATTACTCATTCCTCACACCAATCACATACTTGATATCTATATGGATAGAGTCATGAGAGTTGTTCCACTACTCAACTTTCTATGCATTGCGTCTATTACTCTTAGCTTGTGCAATGGAAACCTGAATGTGCCATGCCAACAAAATGAGAGACAAACACTTCTTATGTTCAAGGAATTAATTTTAATTAAAATGTTTCATGATGATGAACTAATCTCCACTGAAAAATGAAACAAATAAATCCTTCGATCTCAGGATAGTTTGTCAATCAATATTTCAATTCTCTTGGGAAAAATGATTTTTAAAACTAATTAAGTAGATCGATTATTGCTATATATGTGCCTGACGTTTCTTTGGGGATGAAGTTGAACCATCACTGTCTGCAATTTGTTTTTGGGATGGACCATTCTTTTTGTCTTTTACCTCTTGACTTACTACCGTCTTTGTAGGTCTGGGGATGTAGAAAAGTAATTTGTAGTAAATATTTTTACTAATGTGTGTATAAATAGCACTCTAAATTACTCATTCCTCACACCAATCACCTACTTGATATCTATATGGATAGAGTCATGAGAGTTGTTCCACTACTCAACTTTCTATCCATTGCGTCTATTACTCTTAGCTTGTGCAATGGATGCCTTGCCAACAAAATGAGAGACAAACACTTCTTATGTTCAAGGAATTAATTTTAATTAAAATGTTTCATGATGATGAACTAATCTCCACTGAAAAATGAAACAAATAAATCCTTCGATCTCAGGATAGTTTGTCAATCAATATTTCAATTCTCTTGTGAAAAATGATTTTTAAAACTAATTAAGTAGATCGATTATAACTATATATGTGCCTGACGTTTCTTTGGGGATGAAGTTGAACCATCACTGTCTGCAATTTGTTTTTGGGATGGACCATTCTTTTTGTCTTTTACCTCTTGACTTACTACCGTCTTTGTAGGTCTGGAGATGTAGAAAAGTAATTTGTAGTAAATATCTTTACTAATGTGTGTATAAATAGCACTCTAAATTACTCATTCCTCACACCAATCACCTACTTGATATCTATATGGTCAAGTTTCTCAAGGCGTGGACCTGGAAAAACAGATTGGAAAGGATATATATTTTGACCTTTTGGACCATGACAAAATTCGTAGTTTTCCTACTGAAAAACAGACGCTCTTTTGGCAGTTCAAGGTACAAACAGTAGTACCTCAGATTTCTGAATTCAGTTGTTATTACTATTAGAATTCTAATTTTGAAATGGTTCACAGGAGGAAGTTGCAAAAGAGTTTGGCATACCAGTGCAATTTCAGCGCTTCTGGTTTTGGGTTAAGGGAAAAAACTAAAACATATCGCCCTTGTCGACCATTGACACCCAAGGAAGAATCACAATCTGTATTTATTTTACACTTAATAACTTTTTATAAGATTTTCACAGTTATAGGGCATTTAAACTTGGAAGTCGGCTCCTAATGAATCTGTTTTATCTCTAATTTATTTGTTGTTCCTTTGTGAGCTTATAATTCTTATTGTTTCTCGCCTCTTACTTTTTCCCACCTTGTTTTAATGGCAAACGTTTGCTTCGTTGCCTCTTGGACAAATGCTGGATAGAAGAAGATACATATATATATATATATATATACATACACATATATCCTCTCTCAAGATACACACACACACACACACACACATATATCCTCTCTCTCTCTCTCTCTCTCACTCCCCTAAAAGTGTTCATGGGAAACACCTCTGTGGTGTTTTAAATGAAGTTATTTAACAAGAAAAAAATGTGTTGGTCACTGATAAAATTTGATATCATATTTTGAAATGATTGATAGCGTTTGGAAGTGCACAGCACAGCGTGGTTGACGTGTGCACTTCACAATTGGTCGATGTAATTCTTGCAAGCTAGTGACGACCCCTTGTGATTTTTAGGTTGAACAATTGAGAGGGGTATCAGATAAATTTCACAATGGCTACCTAAATTTGTTTTTGGAAGTAGAATTTGGCCGGTAATTCTCTCTTATCTATTGTTGTGTCCCCTGGTCCGAGGCTTATTACAATTTCGAAAGAGATATTTTCTAACAATTTTATTGCCCCTATAAAATGCTCCAGGATCTATGTCCTATTCCTCCCCCTCGTAAAACCAAGGAAGATATCATGCTTTTCTTTAAGCTTTATGAACCTGAGAAACAAAAACTACAGTACTTCTGGATCATTCTGCTGGGTTTTATACTATCTGCTTCCGGTTCACATTTGCTGATTTAAGTTTCTTTTGTGTTACCAGTTTTGTTCGTAGGCTTTTTGTGAAGAGTTTAGCAAGCCAATAGAAATTTTAGCAAAACTAAATCAACTGGCTGATTTTGCTCCAGAGGAAGAGATTGACCTTTGTGAGGTCTGTTTCACATTAATTTTTTGAGCATCAGCTGTGCACACATATGCATAATGTATCATGTATGTATGCCTGTTATTACTATTTGATACAT